TTACTAGTAGCTTCTTGTTACTACTAGTAAGGCACTTGTTACTAGAAGCGGTGCACTTGTTACTAGTAGCATCTTGTTACTACTAGTAAAGCACTTGTTACTAGTAGCGATGCACTTGTTCCTAGTAGCTTCTTGGTACTACTAGTAAGGCACTTGTTACTAGAAGCGATGCACTTGTTACTAGTAGCTTCTTGTTACTACTAGTAAGGCACTTGCGATGCACTTGTTACTAGTAGCTTCTTGCCCTCCCTGACTAGGAGCAAAAACGCTACTAGGAGCAAAGGACACCGCTGCTAGGAGCAAGGACGCTACTAGCAGCTCCTGGCCTTACTACTAGAAACAAGAACGCTACTAGGTTGTATTCTAAAATGTTCAAGCACGGCTTCAACGATACTATTCGTGGCGATTAGTGTCCCAAAGAGCATTGGCGAGCTGTGACTATAAAGCGCTTTATTCAAGAGCGCGTTATGACAGCACAATCACATCTCACAACTCCACCGTAAACCAAGGAATCATTACATCGCTTGTGCATGGTTTGCTGTGAGCGACTCGATGGAAAGAACAGACACTTGGGTCAATGCCTACGAGATCAAGAACTCGGACCCTTTGCGGCAAAGTTGTTTCTTTGTTTACGGGGAGCTTCTTTGAAGAAGCGCTCGCACTCTTCATTTGGTTTCTAGATTTTTGGGAAACTTAACTTGGCGCAGCACAGGGCTTGAGGGTGGAAAGAAGTCCTTCCAGGGGTCTCCTCCTTATCAGCATTGGAAATTGGAGGGGGTATGTGAGCAGCTTTCTTGTGTGGCAACATCCCATCATGTCCGGCAAGGATGCTATGACCCAGTACCTGCTCAGCTTCCACTGGAGTTTGACTCAATTTGCGCCTGCCACCAACAACATTGCCCCCCAGACTCTTTGTCGCAGTGTGGCATGACTTGTTCGGGTAGGTTTTTGCATTGATGACACACTTCCACTCTGCTTGTAGCAGTTGTGTTCAGACACCAGCATCAGAATCCATGCTTAGTTGCCATCCTAGGAATCCCATTGAGAGGGCATTTGCGAGCTTGATCGTACCTCGGCTGTGGCAGTCCTAATCCAATGATTCTCGTCCAAGTCTCGCTCCCGTTATGTTTTCTTGTGCAAGGAGGTGTTGGTTTGGTGCCCGCCCTAGACACTGGAGTGCAAAGTTCGTATTGTTCCAAGGACATAGTATTTTTTAGTTTGTTTTTGTTCTACCCGTCATGTGACAACACACACGCACGGCATTTTTTCATGAACCAAACATATCCCAGGAAACTGTCAACAATATCAACAATCTAAAATTCAACAATGACAGCAAGCCAGTAGGATATGGCATGATATGGCCGTGTTTGCTCATTTGCTGAAGAATAGCCTATCCATATGCATTTGACACTGGAGGGCTATATATTTGCTGAAATGTTGCCTGTCGGTTTGCCTTTAAACTAGCATGTCATTGATCCTGTGGCGTCCTGGCCGCTGAAATGGGTGGGGTGCCGCGCAGACGCTGTCAAAGATCCCGTCGGGATTTGTGCTTGTGATTGGCATGGGTGCTGTAGAAGTGCTATTGAAAGATTAATTAGTCACGAACGGAGTCATAGTGTGTGCAGTTGAGCAGATATTATGTAAGAGGGTTTTCTAGAGTTGGAATCTAGAGTTGCCTTGAGGACTTGTGGTGCGGTCTTGACATTTTAGTGCGATGCAATATCATCTTTTGGCTGGCATAGTGCGCACATGCAAGCAACCCCCCATAGCCTTTTTCGGGCCTGAGTCACTGGGAACTCTTCGACATTTCAGATTCTTCCCTTGAACCAATCAAAGTCACCAACATCATTTGTATGCCTATGGTGTTGGTTAGGTCATTTATGCCTTTGTGGCGTTCTCCTCTTTTGTGAGTGCGATGACCAATGCTACCAATGAGCTGAGAGCATACTCGCTGCTTGCATGCAATAGTCCGGCGGGTGCCTACGAGTTCACCACAGCTGTGACACTTCTTTACATGCAAGCCATTTGATAGTTTATGATGAACTCCTACTTTGATTGAATGTGCATCAGCTGGATGCGAAACAAAAAAGAGCATGCAATGAGGTTGAAGAGTGCAAGGCAGGAAGCCCAAATCCGCAAGTTTCTCGGAGAGAAGATGCCTGACTGCACAGTATCAGGCATGTCCGAGCCCATGTTTTTAAGCTGCAGCAACATTGCTTGGCATCATTGCTGTGCACGCACGTTTTTATTTGTTTCTTCCTTTCTGAATTGGCACATGTCAGAACCGTCATTGTGGTCAGCCCTATGACTCTATGACTATGACCCATGGAACTGCCATAGAATGCCACAGACATGATGAATCAACCATCTCGGCTCAGAAGGCAGCCAAAGTTAGCATCAAGAACGCCAGGATGCTCCTATATCGCGGCTGTACCGAGTTTTGGACAAGGCGCTTGGCCACCAGTTGCTGTCGCTGCAACGCCTCACTGCCATACTATGCAGAGGAGATGGGAGCACGCTTTCCATTTCCTGCTTTGCCGTTGGTAGGCACACAAAATAGGGAGGTAGAAGAGAGGTGGGAAAGCGAGAGCGAGAGGTAGGATGGGGAAGCCTCCCAAGTTCTATGGGGGAACCTCGTCCTGTTCGGGACCAATATTCTAATAACTATTCTAATATACTTGCTCAATAGTGGGAACATGTGGCAGCCTGCCAGGACAAGCTTTACCGGAGAAACAACAGGTCCTTGGTCCTAGAGCGATTGGATCCATTGCCAAGGAACAAGCTGCCAGATCCAAACATGACAGAAGAGCAGAGAGCTATGCAAAGAATTGTTTGGAATTGCATGGACAATCAGGACACCGCAGGTGTGCAAAAGTTGTGTCAAGAGATCCCAGGCGATGCAGGAGAAGAGTGGCAGCCAGTGCTCAGAAGTATTGTGCATTTCTTTTGTAAGACCTTGCAGTATCGAGAGGCGCATATGATGTTCCGACGCCTGCCAATCCGCGACACGATTGCATACAACATGATGTTGCAGATGCTGGCCAAGCTTCGGCAAACTCGTGAGTTTGAAAGATATTTGCAACAAATGGACGAAGAGGAAGTGCCACGTTCTTCGATTACATCATGTATCATTCTTTCTGCATGCAAGGAGTCGTCTGACTGGCAAAAGGCGTTAGATATACTGAGCGAGCTGAAGACGACATCTGAAGGGCAGCATTCAACAAATGTGCCTTATTTGCTCGCGATGACAGCCTGTGCCCGCGCGCGAGAAAAAGACACCGTGGCCAAACTTCTGGAAGAGATGAAGGCGAATCCTTCGGCAGAGGTTACAAGACCCTTGGATGTGCAGCTGGCCTGGAGCTATGCTGACCTAAACAGAGCTTACCGTATTCCCCTTCATGGTTTTGGCTTGGCCTTGTAAAGCAACTGTAGTGAATGTTGTGTGCTTGCTAGACTGCGCGGCACAGTGCTTGGTTTCCTCAAGTTAGATTCACAAACTGTAGTTAAGGAAGCCACTACAATGCAATGCTCGTTGCCTGTGGTACTGATGTAGAAGGTGTCGTTTGGCTGCAGCTCAACCTTTTCACTTCTCACTTCACTCCTTCATTGAGGCAGATGAAGTTCTTTCCAAGCTTCTGTGGAGTGTGGAGGAGGCGGCGCGTCAAGCGACCAAACTTGGAATGAACGCCTTTCGGCCCCAATAGGCTGGACGGTTGCAAAGTGTTGCAACTCCCAAATTATGGCAAAACTCCTTTTTGTGCCCCAGCCTTTGCGGACCAAGGCTAATGAGGTGGTTAAGATGATGAGAGCGGACGGCTTCACACTTTCACCACCTGACTGGCGGGTTTTGATCTTAACCCACCGCGGAGACTTCCAGAGGCAACAGCCTCGCAGCGAATTTGGCAGATTTTGGACTTTTGGTTTTTGAGTTGCAGTAGGAAGTTCCTCCATCCTTGAAGCAATTTTGGGAATAGGCAAGGGAGGCGTAGCAGCAAGCTTGAAGTGGCACAGTAAGATGATTATGAGTTTTGTTGCTTTGGGCACTGTATGTCGGAAGACTGCGTAAGCGTCTCCGAGATCGTTCAAATTGTGTATCCCCGTTTATGAGGTGACCTTATCTAAAAATCTTTCCAGTCAGTGCAATGCAGCCACGGTAGCCGCCCCATTTGTTTAGAAGTGGCCTTTGGTTTGCCATAGAGGCAACTTTATGAAGAGATGAAGCAGATATGCCCGCAAGAGCCACCAGAGGAGACTTTAGCCATCCTGCTTCGGTCAGCTGTGATCGACGAAGACACAGGTGCAAGAGACTGGGTGCTGCAAGAAATGGACCGATGTGGCTGCTGGTAGTCACTTCAACATTTCTTTCATTTTGTAACGTAGTGTAGTGTTTTTCTTAAGTATAGTATAGTAATTATAGTTGCTACTACTGTGGTAATTACATAATTCTAATTGTAATAAATGTTAATTCCAATTTATGCTTGGTGTTGCATGAACACGGTGCGCCCATGCGCGCCCCTTCCAGTTTGAGCATCAGAGGCTGCAGCATCGACTCCGAGCAGGCCCAAAGGGTACCCTCTCTCCGACGAGCCATCTCCAATTATTATCGGCAGCTCCAACCAGTGCAGGGGGCATCATCGCTGCCACCTGAGAAGCTAGCGCCAGAGCCACTTGGGCTGCCCAGCGGCTGGCAGTCCACTGTGGATCGGAATAGCGGCAGACCCTACTATTGGCGAGTTGATGACCCAACCAATACAACCACCTGGACGCGACCAAGCTGAAACAACGTGCCCTACGGCTCTACATGATCGTTTAATTTGCATCAGGGCAAAAAAGGCCCTAGAGTGTCACATAGTGCCATGGTATAAGACATTCTAAGACTTTCGACCCCAACAGGCCAGCTGTATTTCTGCTTGGGCAGTTGGCTTAGCTCCTTGTTTCTCACCGCGAGGATGGGCGCAAATATGCGCAAATTGTAAGTTCGACCTGGATTGGGAGCTGCCCAACTATTGAGTTCACCATGATGGTTGTATTCGGGTCTCATGACAGTTGCTCGCAAGTTTGTTTTGTTTGCTCAAGAGGTGCTAGACATTCCTGCCTAATCAACCTGCCTCGGTCATATGTGTAAGCACTGGACTCTTTGTTGTTCCCTTTGGTTGATGGGAAACTGTGGGTGGTGTCCCCTCAGGCATCGCTTAGCAGGTCACAAATCATTTACAAGGTGGGCTGTTCGCGAGCAAGTAACAGGTGCCAGCCTTGCCTCCACAGACCGCGACTCGAGGAAAGTCTCCTCGGACCTATGGTGCCGCATTCGACAGTTTTGCAAAGCCAAGCGTGTTTCGGGCATGGTCAGTGAGAAGGCCCGGTCGTGTCGTTTGTGATGTCAATTCTGAGCAATTGATTTGGATACAATGTGCCACTTAGATATGAACCATCTCACAAGATGTGCGATAAAGTATGCAGTGCGGACTTTGTAGAAGAATATGGTTCGGTTTTGGTGAGGGCATCTCAACTTCTGAGCCGACTCTGTGCATGCGACAGGATTCGAGGATGCTTTGATAGGGCCCCACTGTTTCATTAGAGGCACAATGACCCTGGCCTATCCTAATGAAATCTAATGAGTAAGGTGTTTACTTCCTGACCCTCGCGGCATGCTGGTAATCTAATGAGTAAGGTTATTTGGGGTTGGGTGTTTCATGTTCCCGGCTCCCGGCTCGGTGCTTTCTGAAGTAAGACATTCCTAAAGTGCCACAGGAAACCGTTAAACAGCTACTAGGAACAAGAAGCTACTAGGAACAAGTGCATCGCTTCTAGTAACAAGTGCCTTACTAGTAGTAACAAGAAGCTACTAGGAAACAATATATAAATTAGAATTTAATTAGAATCAAATTACCCAACACAAGTCTCCTACTAGGGAAGGACAAACTGTGCCCGCGGGAAGGGGAAGCACCACACCAGGAGCAAAAAAAAAGGAGCCCCTTTGTTTCATTCTTTTTACGCTCGTCTCTATTTGGCAAGATGCCGAAGTTCCTTTCAGCACGGCTAAATAATGTACCGGCTGTCAAAGTCTTACGTACAAGGAGGGTTGGCTTCCCATTTCCGTTCACATTTTTACGTCAATTCTTAAGCAGTACTAGTACTGTACTGCGGGCAAGTGTTGGAAGTCATGCGCATACTTGTCATAATCTGGGTGACACTCTTCTGATCTCTTGTGTGCAACCACACCAAGCCATCGCACCACCAGGAAATTGATGTGCTGAAGGACGTTCCGGAAAGTTTGCGCATCATGCTGCACGAGGAGCTAAATGTCATGCAAGCTTATGGGGCGGCAATGAATGATTTGCGATTCATCACACAGTGCGGACAAGGTCAGTTTGGTTGTAGGGGGAACACGGCCAGTTGTCAGACCATCAAGGGGTCCATGCAAGCACAATAGCCTATAATAGCTTTTCAGACGGCATCAATCGGACACAAACAGGACATCCTGCGTGCTATTTTGTCACACAACCGGTGTCAGCCTTCACATTGCAATAAGAATAGAATCAGAGTTCAATGTTCGCTGATTTGAGTATCGTACGCAAACTGTTCAGCTGGTGCTTGAAGCTGAATCGATTGAAACCGCAGGAGATGTATAAAGATATTCTGTTGGAGTCACACTTGCTCTCCGGCGTTGAGGTCCAGAAAACGCATTTGCCCACAACCTTGCTCTTGACAAACATTTAAAGCGGGACTACCTTTGACATGGCTTGAAATTGAATCGTGGGTTGCCAGTTGCCAGGACAGCTTTTCGAGTGCCAATATGCCATGCACCATAATTGATCACAATTGTGCATACTACGTTCCACACCATGCCAGCTCTCATTTGCCATGCATGCTATCATATGCGGGTAAGAGAAGATAGAAACCTAGAAACTTGCAGTGAAGCAGTCTGAGAGGTCGATGACTACCTTACACATGCAGTGAAGCGCTTCTGCCATTTCTGCATCTCCGAGGAGGCTTGGTCAGCTTCTCACTTTCTGCCACGCACAGTTTTCCACATAAAGTCATGAACCGCGCCACGACGTACGTATCATGCATATATACACATATAGATAGATCATCTAGTAGATTAGGTACATGTGCTTGCAAAGCCATATTGCGGAGTGCACATGTGCCCTGCTTGACTTACTCAGATCGTCGCCGCCAAGCTGGATGTTTTTGTCGACGGGAATGAGGCGCAGCGTGTCTATGTGTCACGCACCTTGGAGGCAACCTAATACCAATATAACAATAACTGAAGTAATTAGTACAACATTAACAAACGCAATTAATTGATAAAGGCACAATAGTAATTAGCGATGGCCTCCAACCTAGGATCCACCGGAAGCCATTGGTGCAACCATTACACTGACACTATAGTTGAGTAGACCGACAGCACCACGCGAGCCTTTTCGCATCGTCCCCAGGTGGGGGCAAGTGCATCTACTGGAGCATCCTACTCCCAAGCAGCAGGACGCTCAGACTGTCCAAAGGTTTGAATATAAAATTGATTGTAGAAATGCCAGTGGCAGACGAAGTCCACCAGCACAGGTGCCAAACTAGGAAACTGCCTCTGCCAAAGCAAGTGAAGATCGAAGTTCGAACGGCACGCGGTCGAATTGGGTGGCGACACGAGTCGCCGCGTCCGGAGCGCCCTTTTGAACTCATTGAGCCCACCCTCTAAGGATGGTGTAAGTATGGTTTCATCTCAACTGCATGTTACACAGCGTGTAATTCACACAGGAGGCAAATTGTAAAAAATATGAAAGGCTAGCCAGCCATTCGATTCACTTCAGTGAACCATGCCTGAATCTCTGTACGGAGAGTTCCGCTCAGGACTGGGCTCATGACATCCAGTGGTGATCTCCTGTCACCACAGTAGGCACAGCATCTCAGAGCTTGCCTGTTGCGATCACTCATCTGGTCAACAACGTGGCATTCGGGAAAGTGCCAGCATTCCCCTTGACGTGAGGAGACTATGGCTGCCCGGTGTGGGCATGCATCCATGTGATCATCCAGCGCCGTCTCAGCGCGGCGCAGCAGCATCGCTCCATCCCTCAGCATGGTCTTCTGTTCGAAGATCTCTTCAGTATGCCGATTGGTCTCGGCAAGACACAGATCCATTGACCTGCGGGCTTCCTTGGCTACCCGCTGGTATTCCTCGCTTCTCAGCTTTTCCTCCTTCAGGGCTTCACGGAGTCTGGCCGGAATGATGGCCTCGTCCTTTTCGATGCCAGCTTCGCTCAAAATCTTCATGGGTGTCCAGTGAAAACACTTGCAGACACAGCAGGTGGCAAGCATCACTAGGAGGTGCGCGAGCAAAAAGCAAAACAGCCATCCATCTTCATTCACCGGCTCTGAGGTCGCGACTTGGTTTCCAGCACACGTGTCCGTAGCTTGGCATGTGGTGCAAAGCGCTGCAAAACACAGTAGCCAGAGCAGGGTATTCTTCAAGCGGCCGGTGATCACAAGGTCCTTGCGGCTTCCGACATGGCGGGATGAGGCTTACACATACGTGACAGCAAGGGCATCCCTGACAAAGTTGACACTCTCGGGGAGGTCACCTGCAGGGTTCTCTTGGACCTCCTCGGTCTCAGGGATGAAGTCTTCATCATAGTTTTGGTGCCAAACACGTGCGGATGTTGGTGGCACCAGAGTGGTCTCAGCCAAAGCGCTGAGCTTCTCACCCTTACTTTTCTTCTTCATGGCCTTGTAGAGGGGTCCCAGGTAAGCTTCAGCTTCTGGTGCCGAAGGCGAGTGGCAAAGAGCACACGTGCAGCCTCCTTTGTCAGCCCATCAGCGATTTGTCTGTTGCTGCTCATCCATTTCAAAACACCATCGATCTCCTGAAGGCGTTCCTTCATGACTCGAATTTCGAGGCTCACACGCTTGTCAATGAATGAGGAGCTTGCGGATTCACGATAGTAGGCATCATACAGTGCCTTGGCGTCGGTGACCATCACAGGCTTCAAAGTCGACCTGATGTTGAGCAGGTCTGCCAAAGCCATGTCGGGCTCGAGGATGTGGTGCCAGTAGCGGCAGGTGAAGTCTACCGCAACGCTGGCCTGACCGCCAGCTTGTGCTTCTGCTCCCAACGAGGACCTAGCCACCCGAGGTGTTTTGAAGCTTTTCCAGTCCAACACATGATACTGCATCTGAGTGCATGAGGTTGCCGTTGATGAGCATGAGGATGTAGCCACCTTGGGATGAGCCATCGTTGCGGGTGGAGAATCCCGCGTCGAAGAAGCCCGACAACAGGCTAGCGCTGCATTGAAGATGCGGCGAAGTTTGAACTGCTGGCCACTGCAATGAGCCTAACTGGCCACGAAGTTGTGTGACTTCGCGTTCTCGAAGACCATCAGCGGGAGACCGCTTCTTGTCCACAGCAATGGGCATCACCTTCTCCATGTACTTGGTTTGTTGGATCTTTCGGCCACCTTCGGGAGTCTTCTCGATTTCACAGCCACAGTATTCAAGGCTGTCATGATCTTCCTTCCACTCCCTGAACGAGAAGTTGGCCTTCAGCTGTTCGACCACTGAGCGGTAGCGAGGGCTGTCCATGCAACCTGCACCAAGAAGGTCGTCAACATGCATGATGACCATGCCGACGAGCTTGTGTGGACCCACCCAGAGAGCGCCGTGTTGAAAAGATTTAATAAGGTTATTGATTTTTGATCACAATATTGAAATGCTAGTTTTATTGAAACAAATCAATAACTTTATTGGTTTACAAACCAACACAGTTATTGGTCTATTTCAACAT